CCTTAAATCCTAAACCCCAAACCCTGAACCCTAAACCCTAACCTACGGTAGCCAAGCGAAGGTGCTACCTCTTAGGGTCGAAGGTAGGGACCTGGCAGGTGCCACTGCTGTTCCATAGGCTGCCGCGATGTATTTTTTGGGGGCTGCCGTAGGTGTCTACATGAGAGGGTTAAGCTGTAGCGGTTTAGGGTTTAGGGTTTAGGGTTTAGGGTTTAGGGTTTAGGGTTTGGAGGTCAAAAAGAGCCCGAGCCCCTGCAGAACCCTCCCAGAAGCTTCATAGAGCCCTCCTAGAACCCTCAGAGAACCTGTATAGAGCCTTTGTAGAACCCTCATAGAACCCTCGTAATTAGAAGCTGTATAGAACCTTCATAGAACCCTGAACCCTAAACCCCAAACCCTAAACCCCGAACCCTAAACTCCAAACCCCAAACCCTAAACCCCAAAACCCAAACCCTGAACCTTAAACCCTGTTCTTGAATAGGTTTTTGGGGTGTAGGGTTTGGGATGGTTTAGGGTTTGTGTTTTTATGGGCTTTTCTCTAAAACCTTAAACGTTTTAGGGGACGTTTCAGGGTTTTGAGGTGTTTTGTGGGGTTCATGGGGCTCATCGAGTTGACTGGGGGTTGAGGGTTGCGGGTTCAGGGTTTTGAAAAAAGTTCAAGACGATGGGATAAAACGCGTTGTAAAAACCCCAAGCCCTAAAACCCTAAACCCCAAACCCTAAACCCTAAACCCTTTTGGTTCCACAAGGGTGCTGGTAAGGGTCTACAAGGCCTACTCGAAGGCTTGAGAAGAGTTGCACCCGAACGCTATAATCACCGTTGCCCTGAGCCCTGAACCCTAAATCCTAAACTCTAGGCCCTTGCCCTAAATTCTAAACCCCAAACCTCCAACCCCGAACGCCCGACAACAAACCCTAGAGGTTTAGGGTTTAGGGGTTGAGGCCAAACCACAGCTATAGGGTTTCGGGGTTGAGGCTAAACCACAGCTAGCCCTAAACCCGAAACCCCTAAACCCTAAACCCTAAACCCTAAGCCCTAAACCCTAAACCCTAAACCCTAACCCGAAGACAGGCCTTTTGCTTCACCGCCGCCTTCTTCACCCTGGCTGGGGAAGTGCAGAAGCCGTTCATGGAGCTCGCAGTCGAGATGGTGTGCCTAACCTGAAGGGTTTAGGGTTTAGGGTTTAGGGTTTAGGGTTTGGAGTTTAGGGTTTATAGGGTTTATAGAGTTTAGGGCTTAGAGTTTAGAGTTTAGAGTTTAGGGTTTAGAGTTTAGAGTTTAGGGCTTAGGTCTCTGTAAGGTTTCCGTGGAGGTTCTAGTCTAGTATAAGATTTCGACGAGGGCCCATGCCGGTTTGTGTGACAAGGGATTCAGGGGGCCGAACTCAAGCAGCATGGTTCTGGATATTAGAACCACTAGATCATTTCATACAAAACTCTGAACGATTCGTACATGATTTTGTCTCGTGTCCCCCTACAGCCTGTATATACACACGTAGCATGTATGTATGTCATGTATGTATTCAACATAATGCCCAGAAATCCATGCGCTGCTCGTCATCTTTCATCGCAAAACCAGATAGTTGAAATCCTAAGCTCCAGAACCCTAAACCGTACAGCTGAGGTCAAGCTACTTCGGCCGCCTAAACCCTAAGCCCCTAAACCCTCAAAACCCTAAGAACTGAGGTCAAGCTACTTCGGTTCCCTAAACCCTAAGCCGCTAAACCCTAAAAACCCTAAGCCGTTCAGCTGAGGTCAAGCTACTTCGGCTACTTCTACCTGCTCTTCGTCCTCGCTTCCATGCTCCCCTACTTTGCCGAAACAATGCTCGAGGAAGGAGGCGCCTCGCTTTCTGGAGGGCCCTTTTAATGGGGTTTAGGGTTTAGGGTTTAGGGTTTGGGGTTTAGGGTATTTAAAGGAGGCCCTGCTATAAACTCCTAGAGGAAGCCCGGGGCCCTTAAAAGGAACACTCCTAGACGCTTAACGGAGCCCTCCTTAACACGGAACCCTTAAGGACTAAGGCTTCTCTAAGGGTTGTATAGGGGCTTAGGGTTTAGGGTGCAGGGTGAAACCAGGCTTGTCGCGATCTGTATACTAGGATCACAAACACGACACACTGCCCTTAAGACCGCCCTTAAGAAAACTGTTCATACTGTACAATGTGTTCACCAGACTTGTGTAGCGGGTTTAAGCGGTTTTATGAGGGGCTTTGTCAAGTTTCACAAGGGCTTGACAAAGTTTAGCCTGCTTCGATAGGGCTTTAGTTGGGTTAAGGGCTTTTTTGTGTTTTATGGACAGTTTGGGCTAACAGTGTACGGATGCATTTATGTCTTTGTAGTAGCATTTCCATTGCTAGTGACTGCTGTTACTATTCGCTTACGCTAGTACGACTATTCCTGCTATGGCTGCTAGTGCTGTTGTGCTACTACGTGCTGGGTGTTATCGCTCATCATCATGTTGGGCGAGATTTCTGTGACTGCTATGTTATGCTCCTATTGTTCCTTTGCTTGCTGACTGCTTTGAGTATATTCATTGAACCCTAAACCCTGAACCCTAAGTCTTTATGATATCATGATATCCTCACAAAGAGCTAGTCACCAAAAACAGCTAAACACAGACCTCAAACCCTAAACCCTAAACCCTAAACCGCGATCAAGGTCTCTCTGCGTGCTACAACCTGGCTTCCTCGCTTCTGGCGTGCAGCACCTTGCTTCCGAAGCCTACAACTTACGGTTTTGTGTGTGTCTTTTTTTTTCCGTGGTTCCTTGGTGGGTTATTCTGAGATTCCCTTGAGGGTGCTGCAAGGGTTTAGTTCGTATAGGATTATAGGGTGTGTAGTTTGCTAGAGATTGTATGAGAAGGGTGCTGCAAGCAATCCGCGTTCTGTGAAACGGCGTCCACAAGGATTTGGGGTTTAGGGCCCTAGACCCTAAACCCTAAACCCTTTAGGGTTTTGGGGTCCATGCATCCCTAAGCCCCAAGCCCTGAACCGTAACTGAGGCTATCATAAGGGTTGGGGTTTGGGGTTTGGGGTCTAGGGTTTTGGGTTTTGGGGTTGCTGTAAACCCTATAGTTGTGGTGCCATAAGCTACGCAACCCTCAGCTCCATAACCCTCACGCTGCAGCTACTATTTCGTGGGGTTTGGGGCCAGAGCAGCACCTTAAACCGTACTACCTTCAGAATAGAACAAAGAATCCTGGATCATGAACAACATCATTTCTGAGGGCTCCTTAGTATAACTCTACTATGAAATGCCCGAAACCCTGTTTCAATTATGAAGGCCCTCACAGCATTCTTATCTTACTACTTTGTTGTTGACTGAGGGCCCCCCACTAGAAGGCTCATCGGTAGCTGGAAGAAGGGCTGCAACTAACCCTAAACCCTAAACCCTAAACCCTAAACCCTAAAGTTTAGGGTTTAGTGGTCAAGGGACTAAAGGAGGGACCTTTGGGGTTATATAGGGGCTTCATGAGACTATATAACCCAGAGGGTCCTAGATGTATCGCC